AAACCTCAGTCTCTAACCCTTCCAAGTTCACCCCTAGGAGCTTGAAATCACTCTGCTCATCCGCATCTACTCCAGGAGTCAGCCTCCTCTGGATGCTCACCTCATTTGTCTTCACGTCCTGAGTCAGTCCCAGGAAAAAATGCAGCACAAAAGAGAAGTGAGCTCTGTGAGCATCATTAACTGAATTTACAGGAAGGAGATGAATGCTAGTGCTTGTGGCACTCAGAAAGCATGAAACGAGTCATTAAGTGCATGTGTCAACAGAATAGAGCCATGGTAGGCAAACTGCAGCTTGCGAGCCACATGCGGCTCTTTGGTCCCTTCCACAAAATACCATGGCCTGGGAGAGTCTATTTTGAAAAAGTGGCATTAGAAGAAGTTTAAGTTTAAAAAATTTGGCTCTCAAAATAAATTTCAATTGTTGTACTGTTGGTATTTGGCTCTGCTGACTAATGAGTTTGCCGACCACTGAAATAGAGGATCTCCAAGTTTCCAATAGTTCATTCCAAAGTCTCAATACCTCCTTGGAGTCTTACATTGTCATTTAAGAGATGCCCAGTAGGTGGAGCAGCTTACTCACAGATGGTTTTTCATGGACTGCCACAGATAGAATTTTGAATCATAAATGTCTTGTTAATTCAGGAGATTGAGAAACAATTGAGACCAACCTCCTCCTTTTCCAAAATACAAAAATAAGAAAAAAAGATTATATCATTGACAACAGCACATCCAGCGCTTAAACCAGGTGGCTGGTGTTCACCTGAAACCCTGATTATACATCTATGAATCTCCATCTTGGGGTAACATTCCATAAGAAGGCCACGCCAAGACATCAGGCGGCACATTCTGGGAGAGGAGGGCGTATGGACACATAGTGATGTTGTCTGCTGCTAGGTGACCTCATTTCTTAGGATGATACCCTGTTGGAGCTATCTGTCTTGTACTCATAAGTCCCAATTTAAAAAAAAAAAAAAAAAAAAAAAAAAAGGATGTTTTAGAAAGGGAAGAGTACACCCCTTAGCCTTTTTTACACCCTCCCACCACCTGCTGCTGTTTCCCCTACAAAATCCCACCTGCATAGTGTATGCTCAGGGTGTAAAGAAGAAGAAAACCAATTTCCTGAGATGGCTTCCTTCCTTGGTGGTCCCAGTACTTGGAATTCCCAGGGATGAAGGCGGGGCTGTGTCCACTTTTAAGAGATATTTACATCCATTCAGTTATCGGCAAAACACTTATTGAAAACTTTCTATACTCCAGGAATAGAGCTGTAAAAGGAGTAGACAAAGCCAACAGCTCTCCTAGAATTACACTTTACTGTGGGAAGAAACAGGAAAGAAGGAAAGAAACAAGATAATTTCTGATACTGATTAAGTATTTAGAATTATGAATGCCTGAGGGAGGGGTGAGGTTGAGAGATTATTTTCAAGGAATGGTCAAGGAAGGTAGTATGAGAAGATAATATTTAAAACACAGATCTGGGAGCATGATTTTGGCAGAGGAAACAGCTAATACGAAGACCTGAGCAGGGAGTGTTAAGCTGTTTTCAATTAGTTCATAAGGTTGCCTTTTTTTTTTTTTTTTTTTTTACTCTGTAATCTTTTACTTTAAAAATTCATAACACATGGTAATGTAACAGTTACTCAGCATGGGATGGGTTTGGTCACTGTGTTTAGAGCGTCGGTCTGCGGACTGAGGGGTCCCAGGTTTGATTCTGGTCAAGGGCATGTACATTGGTTGCGGGCACGTCCCCGGTAGGGGGTGTGCAGGAGGCAGCTGGTCGATGTTTCTCTCTCATTGATGTTTCTACCGTGTTTCCCCGAAAATAAGACATTATCTGAAAATAAGACCTAGCGCATCTTTGGGAGCAAAAATTAATATAAGACACTGTCTTATTTTTGGGGAAACTCCTTCTTCCTTCCTCTCTGTTGAAAGTCAATAAAATATATTTTTTAATATACATATATATATATATATATATATATATTATAATATATTATAAACAGCTCCAATACTAGTCATGAGATGTCCCCAGAGTGCTTGAGGACCATCACAGGAATGTTTAAATACAGCATGCTTTCCTCTAAAAATATAGAAAATTACTTTTTATGGATGAATTATGTTTCAATTTGCTACCTCCGGATGTGGAAGGTACCAAGTCCCATGGGTGTGAATTTAAAAGACTAAGCAGCTTTATTTTTCCTTCGGGGACTGTGGTATCCAGGGTTTAGATTTAGGTTTCAAAGCCAACAATTTCTCTAAGGAAAGGGGAAACATAAGAGAGAATTCCACTGGAATATCTAAATTTAGCAAAGAAAACATAGACAAAAATAAAAGCCCTATAAAGGATAACAATAATTTTAACTGAGCAACTTCATCCCACTAATTTCTAGACCAAACACCTGCCGGTCATCTCGATGAAAAACAAACATCACTGAACTGTGCTCTGAAGGGCAGGCAGATCCCTGCAGCGAGTTCTAGCATATTCTCCAGAATTAGAAACGCAAGCGCGCGCGCACAGAGTTAAGGGGGGGAGAGGGCCAACCCCCTAAAAAGCACTTACCTTCCATCATGAAAGATGCGCTGGCCTCTCCTCTGCCGGGCGGCCAGGCGCTGGCAGGACAGAGCGCTGGTCACAAAGCGCCGGCACTTCAGGCCCAGGGACCGGCCAGGCTGGTGATATAGCGGCAGGTCCAGGCGGGCATAACCTGGGCGCAGGCTGAGCGGGAGGGCTTCCTTCTCCAGCCCTGCTACAGACAGCTGCCCTCTTCCCCGGCCTCAGGATGGCTGTGCCCAACACCAGGGGGGATGCTGGGAGCAGCCCTCCTTACACCACGTGCACCTGCGCGTCCAATAACCGTGTCTTCTCACCGCCCCTGGGAACGTGGAGTTGGATGGGCCTCCTTGGTGGCTGAGCCCATTGGACTTCTGGAGTCCTCTGTGGTGACCATGACACCTTACACCTTCTGGGCACCCTGGAAGCCAGAGTCCAGATTTAATTTTCCCGAGAAGTCGTCTTTTTCATTCCCAAATTCCACGCTTGGGTCATCTGGAGATGTTCCAGGACAAAAAGACGCTCAGGTTTTTCTGATGAAAGTGGTCAAATTTCTCCTCGATTCCGTCCTAACCATCTCTTGCAGAGCCTACCTAGAGGTTGTAATCCGGCCACTGGAATAGCTTTGGCGAGGGACACTGACTTCCTAAATATCCCAAGATGATTTCCTTGGAAAAAGATCAGCTGTGTGCTCAGGGCGGGCTGGGCTCTTTGAGAGTGGGGAGGAGTCACTTTGGGGCCCAGGTGTTTGAAAGCCTCATTTAGACAGCTTTTGTTTTGCTGAAAGGTATTCTTGGCCCGTGGTTGTTTTTTTTTTGTTTTGTTTTGTTTTTTGTTTTGTTTTAAATCTTGGGGGCTACTAGGGCTTGCTGGACCCAAACCACAGGAAATCAGCCCATCAGGGTGTGTTTTGGGGGTGGGTTTTTGTTTTTTTGTTTTTTTGGGGTTTTTTTGGTTAGTAAAATATTTTTTAATCTGATCAAATGGTTACAAGTTGTTGTGAGGCACCTTTTACTTTACTTTTTTAATCTTTATTGTTGAAAGTATTACATATGTCCCCTTTTCCCCGCATTGACCTCTCCCAGCTCTCCTCGGGTCCCCACCCCAGGCCTTCGCCACCCTAGTGTCTGTGCCCATGGGTTATGCATACATGCATACAAGTTCATTGGCTGAGTTTCTTCCCACCCACAAGGGTGCTTCCTAAGTGATACCTGCTACTTGGTTTAAAGAAAACACTGAAGGAACTAAAGTTTAAGTGAGGGAAGAGGAAGGGATGGTCCTAGAACACAGCAGGTGTGTCCGCTTTTCCCAGTGGGGAGGTGGTAGGCAGCTGAGTCCAGCTGTGTGACATTAGTGCCTTAGGCTTTCTTCAGAGGCACCGTGTTATTCTCAGGAAGGTGTAATGTTGTGGGCAGTAATGTCCTCTCCCTTAATCTCAAGCGCATCGAGCTCTTGGGCTCATCCTCTTCTGGGGACACGATGGGCAGGAAGTTCCATTCGTGAGACGGTGGGTTGAGAGGAGGCGATTTCAACTCCTGCCCAGACCACCGTGAGAGCATAGCAAGTGCGTTTGGAACGGAGCTTGCTATCCATTCCTCACATCCGCTGGTATCTTTGTATTCAACTTAGAAAACCATGGCCAAAAGGCAAGAATAATCCGGACTTCTTACTTCCCCACCTCCCATCGGTAATTCGGTATTGAGGTGCGTGTTTGACCTCACCCCAGTAAACAAACAAAAAGAGCCAGGTTATTTGGTTACCCGCCTCAGCCTGATGCATTTCATGCTTGAATTTTTTTCATAGTTTTATCATCAAAAGCTTGAAGAGAAAGCCCATGCCTTCTTCCTCCCACATATCTTTCTAGTAGGCCACAACGCCTCAGAGTGGCAACAGCAGCTGCAGTCACTAGTACAGCTGCAGGGCCTTTGGAAAAATGTTTCTTTTTTCGGAAACCTAACAGCCTTTGCGTAAAGACTATTCAATCACTATTCACACTCTTCAAATGCTTCAGCTGAAATGTCTGAGGCTGCATCCAGGTGGAAATTATTTTATGACTCCATAATACATTATTTTTCTCTGCAATAGGCTTATCTCCTTATTTCAATAAAATACCTGCAAAATATCAGCAAAAGGAGAATCAGTCCATTAAAGTTTGTATAGCTGTTCTTCACAAGCAATTCTCTAGGTCCAAGTCCAAGAATGGACAATTAAGGCCAATTATTCATGAACTGAAGTACCATTTGCATTTTTCCCTTCGGGATACATTTGTTATCATCACTTACAGGGAGAGTATTTGCTTGCAGATCTGCCCTTTTACCTCAGAAAGGGAGATAACCTTTCTATTTAAACTGAGTCATCCTTGTCCTAAATATTGCAAAGTGGCAAGGACTGCCATCTCCTGTTTCCTTGGGCCAAGCATGATGACAAGGCAAACTAGGCCGTGGTCCCAGAATCTCTTTGCACTCACTGCCATTTTGTGTGGTGGTCAGATGTGTTTATCATATTGCAGAGAATTCTAATACTGGATGAGTTGCATAAAATTCTACCCAGGAAATTTTAAAATAAAATGCTTGCAAATGAAGTGCCTGTTCTAGCTATGAAAAACGTGTTCTGAAAGCACTGAAGGAACATTTGCAACTTGAAACTTTTCATCAGAATTTGAGAGAACTCAGGGTCAGTTTAATATTAATTCTCCCCCAGCTCTTTCATCTAACAGATATCAAGTTGCATTTGAACCGGTAAAGAGATATGAATGTAGGTCAGTTGAGCCTTCAGAGGATGAATTTCTTGAGAAATATTTTGCACCCATCTATTTAGTCTTAAGTATCACAGGTTATTTTGAGGTAAAAGTGACCAAAAACCTGACTTTTTCATAGAAATGGAAATTCGTTTCTGGTAAATGGAAATTGCTTTTGAATAATTTATGGGAACAGAGAATTCATCAGATCTGATAACATCAGTAGCCATGAGATTACCTTGTTCTGTAATGGGTGCTATGGGAACTGGAGAGCTGGAGTTGGTTAACACGAGACTTTCTATCCAGAATCCCAATCTGGTTAAAGGCAAGCAACATTTAAGGAATGCAAGGATTTTGTCAAAACGCTGTAAGAAGGAACCTTAACAGAAAATTGCTTCCATCTAAAGGGTGTTCTCTAGTAAATGGAGATATTCATTCCACTGTCCTTCCCCGTCAATATACAAGACCCCCTCTCTTAATATCACCACCTTCTCCTCCTTTTCATTAGATGGGGTAAGGAAAATTTCCAATTCATTACTGATAAACTCCCTATTTCTTCTGTTCAAATATTAAAATTCTTTCTCCCAGTCTTTTAGACCTGCTGCTGAATCTAACTGCCTTGAATCCCACCTGAAATTTAAAAATGTATAATCAGGGGACTCCCCCCAAAATAATGTTTAGTCTTTTGTTCATTCACTTAAAATGCTATATTGATCATCTTTTGTGTGCAAAGGACACAGCTAATCATTTGTTTAAAAAATAAGTTGAATAAGACAAAGTTCCTATTTTTAGCTTGAATAGAATTTCTGTACATATAATGTGGGAAAGAAAATTCCAGATGGAAGCAACATCCTGAAGAAAGTCTGGACTAGAATGTGTTGGGACCCAACCATGGAACCCCAAGTGGACCAATCTGACTGCATCACAGGGTAGATGGAGAAGATCAATGGAGACTGTGATTATAAAGATAGAACAAAGCCAAATGCTAATTAACCTTAAATTCATAATAAAAAGCTATACCCAATTTGGGAGGCAATGAAGAACCACTGAATGGTTTTGAACTTCAGAAGCATAACTGAAAAATATAGGAAGCTTTTTCTATTTTATGAACCTTCCTTGATACATCATCAGAATGCCAATTCTTCTGTAACCTAGAATAATCTCAGTCTCCATTTGTCCTTCTGTTTGTTTGTATCTTAAAGAATTATTTCTATGTTAAGTAAAATGCTGTACTATTCCTGGACCTAGTTAGTTTGTTGTTGCTGCATACCAGAAGCCAGCAACTTTGAAAGGTGAATGCCAAGTCTCCACTGATTCACTTCCTTATAAGTGGTAGCAGGAGATGAGAGAGGAATTTCCTTCTGGGAAATTAATGCTGCATGAAGCCTGTGGACAAACCTATTGACCATTCAATGATGTGGGGAGAGAGGGCAGGAAGGACATTGTTGACTAGAAAATAGAAAAGAGGGTGTTCTCTGGTACAAAGAGTGCACCAAACATGAGTTTCCTCTAGAAATGACTCTGACTGCTCCCGCTGAGTGACCTTGTATGTTAAGAATCTTGGCGCATGTGCATAAATTGATAACCTGTTACATAACTTCTCAAAGGGCCACACACTGAAAAATGAAAGCATAGTAAATAGTTTCTTGGATGACACTGTGATGAAACTAGAATAATTTTAACAGATTTTGTTTTTGTGAAAGTTCCTTCCAATTTACCTCATTTCCTATGACTAAGAGATGGCACAGGTGATAGAGAAAAAATACTATGTATACTGGAGTACTTCGTGGAGGGTTCCATGTGTAGGGGTTTTGTTGTTGTTGTTAGGTTTTCTCCTCTTTTAGCTTACATATAAAATGACAAATATAGTTTTCTAGAATATTGTACACAGAATTTTCATTAATAGTTTTCCCCATTGTTGGAAGTAAATAATAAGATTTCAGGGGTTGTATCTGAACATCTGTAACTTGACAGTTTCATAAATAATCAACAACACAGGAATATGAGCTTTGGTCAGTAGCCTGGAGCAGCAGATGCAAAGACGAGTGGTATCACAAAAGGTAGTCTGAGCATTCAGAGATCAAAAGTGTCAAGGGATGAGAGTGGGCCAGAGCATCTGCAAAGCAAAGCAAAAGTGAAAAATGCTCCCTGTCTGGCCACTGGGAAGTCACTATTTCAATAAGGATAGCACGAGGGTGCTTTACCTGAGCTCTGTGCCCAGAAAGACATGAAGGAGGGTAACTGTCACAGAAAAGGTAAAAATTCATATTGCATTTAAACACAAATTATTAAAAAGGTACAAGGGATATGACATATTACATTTGGAGGGGAAAATAAGATTATGAGAAGTAGGGTGAACAGACCAATGGTGTTCCATGGTGGTATTCAAAGAGTCCATAGAAAAAAAATTAAAAGAAAAAAAACTAGAGAACAATGTATAAACTATTCATAACTAAATTATTTTCATTTTAATGGTTTATCCTTTCTTCCACAATCACATTCTTCTTAATTTTCTGATATTAAACTGTCTTTTCTTTTTAAAATACAAGTGATAGATAAGTCTTTTCTTAAACAAAAATAAATATTTTTTTAAGAATTGAAAAGTATATCCAATCTTCCCAACTTATGTTAACTTTCTACTTTTAGAATGGGTAGTTCAGAACAGTGATCCCTGAACCTATTGATTACATGTATCTTTCAAAAAATTTAGCATACACCCCTAGCATACGGGACTTTATAAAGTACATTCATATGCTGCTCTATAATATATATTGATATTATTAAACTTACACAAAAATATAAATTTAGCCGAAACACGTTTGGCTCAGTGGATAGAGCATCAGCCTGCGGACTGAAGGGTTCTGGGTTCGATTCAGGTCAAGGGCATGTAACTAGGTTGCGGGCACATCCCCAGTAAGGGGCGTGCAAGAGGCAGCTAATCGATGACTCTAACTCTTTATCTCTCTCCCTTCCTCTCTGTAAAAAATCAATAAAATATATTTTTTAAATATATATATATATATATATATATATATATATATATATATATAAATTTAAAAGGATGAAATAAAAATAAACATTAAAACTTATTTATTAAAGATTCAAAAGACACTTTATATTATCTCTCATCTTAAAAATATTGAGATTCCCTTATTTGATACAACATTTTTTTTTAAATCTTATTTTAACACTTTGTGAGACAGAAATTCAGTTTATTTTTCTATGGAGTTTTAGTGGTGCCATAACTTAACTGCACACTTTACAAAGACAGCAGAGATCTGAATGGAAAAGTGCCTTATTGGCTGTACTTCCGGAATTATGATACTTACTTTTCAGTCCCACCCACCAATTATGCAAAAGCTTTTCCTTTAAATCTGGCTAGTAAATTTCCATCTGCCCTGATGTCAGTCATTCATCCATGCAAACTACGGTAACTGGGCAGTGTTGCATTCTACTCTTTTTAACAAATGGATTCAGAACATCTTATTTGAACATTTTTAAAATTCCAAGTCTCTTAAATGTGGAGATACGAATTTTATAGGTGAAACCCACTGTTTGTGGCAACTAAATCATTACTAAGAACAGCATTCCCCAAATGCTTTTTTCATGAGTTTCTTTCAAAAGCAGTTCCTTTCTCATCCATTATTAAAATGTGACCTTTGCCTTGAGGAGACAAATCAAGTCTGCTTATTTTTTTATATGTCTGCTAGGTAACACAGTACTGATAGCTACTTGTCATCACTAAAAAGGTCAGCAAACCCAGCTTTTGAGGGCTTTGTTTTGTTTGATTTTGTTTATAAACATAACCAGCAAACCTCTGTGTTGTGGAAAAGATTTCATGGCCATTGCCTCATATCCTTAGAAAGTATTCTAAAGGTATTTTTAAATATAAGGTAATATATTTGTAACCCTCTTACACATATATTAATTTCACATTGCACTATGCTGAACACATAGCATGGTTGAGCAGTCAACACTTCTAAATGTGGAACTCCCGCTCTGCCGTTGAGAAGTGGAGTCTTGGGTCCAGGTTCCTAACTTGTAACTGCTGGAAATGCAGGCTATGTGATTATGCCTGGGAGATACAGTAAATGTTTATAAACTTTATTATCACGCTTGTAGATAAAAATCTAAAAATAGAAGTTCTTCTATTTTCTTCTTGCCTCTTGGTCTCTGAGGTGTACATGCAATGAATACCAAGGCCTTAGTTGATTTGGAAATTGTGCTTTTTTTATTTTTTGAATTGAATGTCAAAGATCAGTAATTTTAATGGCAAATATTATTAATTCACATTTTCAGTTGTCTTTATGAACATAGTGGTATAGTATGTAAAGTGTGGTATCCACGAATTCTTTAAGTTTTCCAAGAACAAGTTAAAAGTGTAAGGACATGAAGCCTAGAAAAATAACTCTGGATAAATTAAAATAAAGAATTCCTTTTTAATGAACAGTGTTAAAACAAATTCTAAACAAACAAAAAAAATCTTTCTCTCCACATCTTTTCTAAAATATCAAACTGCCTGAGATGAAAAGAAATCTATATAGCATATGTCGGAGCCAGACTTTCCTGCTAATCTATGAAGACACAGCGTCTGTGTCTGAGTTTTCACAATAAGAACCTAGGCAGAGCCTTTCCTGGTTCCTTAACAATTGCATTCTCCCTTCAATTAAAAGATGTATTTGATTTCTATTAATACCACCTTTATCAGGATCTTGTGATTATTACTCAAAGAGATCAACCAATGGAACTTAAACACAAACAGAAATTTAATTGAGGATTGCTAAAAATTATAAGTAGCCTGAAACAAATATCCAAGTAAATAATAAAATAATGAAAACATTAGCCTTTGACATTTTGTCTTAATTAATCTTTCACTAAATTGTCAGTGTAAAATTAGCAGATTACAACAAAACACTATAAAAAAACAAGCAAATGAAATTAGTATCACTGGGCCATATACTAGTAAATTTATCAATAAATAACAAGTTTCCAGAAATATTAAACAATACTTTCATATTTGCAAAGGTATATATTCTTATGGTGTCTATTGATTAAATAGCTAACACACCACATATTATATTCACTGTTACAAAGACAAAATTTCAAAAGTACATTCAATTTTCATTATTCTCAGTATTATATTCTATAAAGTAACTACAAATGCTGAATTCATGAATACTGAACCATTGCTCCTAGGAGAAACACAAGGCTAGGTTCCTGCAGGCCTCTGATCACAGCATTTCCATCAGCTAATCACTATATCATCTTGTTTTATATATGCTTCTTTTAAATATACTTTAATATATTATTGATTCACTGACATTGGACTCACAGCTATAGCATTATAACTCATGCTTGAATGAAGCTTATTTACATGCAGATATTTTCTCCATGAGGCACGTCAGTCTTCTTGCACTTAGGAACACTAGCCAGCAATTCAACATTATCTTTGGACCATTTTAAATAGTGAAATTGCCAACCCAAAAGAACATAAAAATACAAAGAACATGGCACTAAATAGACCAGGAGAAGGGCATATGTTTACAAAATAAGAACTGAAATGAGAAGACAGAACATTGCTTTGTTTGGCCTCAGCTGACAAATTGATTTTTTTTAAAAACTTTACATATGTCCATGAATGACCATGAAAGTGCTACATGTATTGATCTGGGGGTTATAAATAAATTTTAGGCCCTAACTGGTTTGGCTCAGTGGATAGAGCGGCAGCCTGTGGACTGAAGGGTCCCAGGTTCGATTCCAGTCAAGGGCATGTACCTTGGTTGCAGGCACATCCCCAGTAGGAAGTGTGCAAGAGGCAACTGATCAATGTTTCTCTCTCATCAATGTTTCTAACTTTCTATCCCGCTCTCTTCCTCTCTGTAAAAAATCAATATCTTTAAATTTTTTTAATTTAAAAATAAATAAATTTTAACAAGCGGGTGAATTCACACATACAGAATTCATGAATAATAAGGACCTCCATTACTTATAAAACTTATAATCCTAAATTATTAGAATAGGGAAGCAAAATATGAAAGATTATTCTTTTTTCAAGTCTTATTTAAAAAATGGAGGAAAGTATTATAATGAAAATGACAACTGACTCTTTTAAGAATTTTATTATGAACAAAATAGGACCGTTAAGCTCTTAAACTTTTAATTACAACAATCCACTAAAATGGTTAACACTATTATGCCCATTTACAGAGGAGGAAACTGAGGCTTAGAAATGAAAGAAGCCCTGACCAGTGTGGCTCAGTTGGTTGAGCATCATCCCATGAAGCAAAAGGTCACCAGCTCAATTCCCCATCAGGGCAATGCCTGGGTTTCAGGCTCTATCCCCAGTAAAAAGTGTGTAGGAGGCAGATTATTGATGATTCTCTTTCAAGTCGATTTTCTTTCTTGTCTCCCTCTCCCTTCCTCTCTAAAAAAATAATAAATAAACAAATAAATAAATACATATATACATTAAAAAAATAAAAATAAAGACATAAAAGCATATTCCCCAAGCTCACCCAATTATTAATTGGCTGGGCTAGATGTAAGCTCAAAGGTCATAGTGTTCCTACAACTTTATGAAATATGGCTTCCCTAAATTTAGTTCTAGGTTCTCATTTTGAAATCAGTTAATAAACCTACCATAATTCCATTTTTTTAGCTAGAATGTAGTTGCATTTTTAAAAGTTTTTCCTTTGTTCATGTTCTTGTAAACATTCTATCTAGTAAATTATTCATCTTAATCATGCACAGTCGTTCTGTGGACATTCTTGTAAACTCTGAGGAACATAAATGAGCCAAATGTAACCTTTCAGATAACACAATCCTGTTTTTCTTGTTTTTGTTCAGGATACACTCTTTTGTACACAATCTTACAGTACTTTTCCTGGAAAGGTGGAAATGTGTTCTTTCAGGAACACAGATGGTAATGTTTGTCGCACCTTAAAAATACTGCTAACTCTTTCTATATATTTTATTATAAATAATAGCGAATGGTGTCATTTTGCTTAACAAGTTTCAGTTATTTCTTACTATACACAGAACAAAGTAAAACTCCTCAGCCTGGCATTTAGAGTCCACAACATGAGTCTGACTTCTTCCATACCATTCCTCAATGCTTACTCTGCTCCATCCAACCCATTTAATTTGATGCCACTTCAAACACCTTTTCCCTCCAATCATTCCTTCTACTTGGCTCTCTTACCTCCCAACACCTCTAGATGCAAAAATATAGCCCCCGCTATATGACCTCAGTGTCTCCGTGTCTCAATTAGTTTATTCCACCTCAGAGCTCCTCTTTGTCCTTATCTTTAAGAAAGTGACTGTACATCATAGGTGCCCAACATATGTTAGTCAAACTGAAATGAAAATGCCATGAATATCTATGACATAGGCATATCTGTTAGGACATCTGTTACAAAGAACAGCTGAGATACCATTGCTGACTCTTGTTGGGAAATAATTGAACTTTACAAAGGGAACAGACTAGCTCTGGGTATTTTGTAATCAATCAATAAATCAACACTTTAATATAGCTCTTTGATTTTGTTAGCATTCTCTATATCTTCCTTACTGCCTATACTACCCATAGATTTTGGCCAATCCAAATCTTGGGCTAGTGAGATCTAGAGTACATCAAGAACTCTCTTATGATCTGTAAGGGAAGCAGGGATAAATTTCATTTATTATGCTCTTGGGAACATAAATTTGCCTACATCCTAGCAGTTAACTCAAAGTTTGAGAATGAAGAGTGACTAATATAAGGTGACCACATGTCCCACTTTTGGCAGGATGGTCCCGATTTTTAGCAATTTGTCCTTCGTCCCACAGTGTTTTAAAAAAGTCCCGATTTTTGGAAAGAATGCACGACAAGCTAGGGAATGGCGGGAGAACGGGAAGGGAATATATGGTTTTCGGCGACCATGTGGCTATTTAGCCAGGATATGAGTTTTATATTATTTTTGTTAATTTTATAATGTTAAACTTTAATAATAACAAATAATTGTTGAGAACTAATTATGGAGAACTGCTTATCAAAGTTCGCATTGTTGATCAGTTGTTAGAATTCGACCACCATTGTTTGGACTTAATGAACAATGGCATTTTTTGGGATTGGCAACTATGAAAACATTTTGTAACTGTCTCTCAGACAGTACACATCGTACTGCGTGCTAGTAAGCTAGTTAAACAAGTGATGTCATTACAAATCAGCTATTCAGATAATTTAGGTAAGTAGTTTATTTATTTATTTCATAAGTACATAAATTTTCTTGAATTTAGCACAGTACTCGCATTATTTATATTTTATAGTGAAGGCAAAAATTCTAGTGCCGGCCTTGAAAGTGAAACGACTATACATAATTTTTTTTATTTATTATATTTGTAAATTGTACTTAGGTTGACATTTAAAAAAATATATTAGAATACTATTTTTGCATTCTATGAAAATTTTTGTTGCTCCATATAGACCAAATTTTTAATCAAGAACTCCCCCCCCCCCACCTCCACTCCACTCCTGTCAATGGTGTCCCGCTTTACCAATGTTAAAATCTAGTCACCTTAGACTAATAGCACCTTCTCCATGAAGTGGGGAGATGATTCTGGATTATATAAGAGGGTCCAATGTCATTACAAGGATTCCTACTAGAGGGAGGCAGGAGAGTCAGACTCAGTAATGCAGATGTGACAAAGAAAGTAGAGGTCAAAAGAGTGAGGTGCCACCAGGCTAGGAACACAAGCAGCCTCTAAAGCTGGGGCAGTGAGGAAGCCATTCTCCCCTACACCCTCTAACAGGAAGGCAGCCCTGCCAACACCCCGATTTTAGCCCAGCAAACATGATTTCTGACTTGGGGCCTCCAGAACTATAGGAGAATAAATTTATGTCATGTTAAGCCACTAAGTTTGTGGTAACTTATTGCAGCAGCAATGGAAAACTAATACAATGCCATGGCTTCTGAGTGGAGAATGTCTTGGAGGGGAATCAAAGATGGAACTGGGAGGCCAGCTGAGATGCTATTATAACAATCCAGACAAAGTAGGTCTGTCCAAGTGGAATGGTGGCTGCATAGACCTGAGACAAGGAGACCAACTGGGGCTATATTTTGGAGATAAGGCTGACAGGACTGGCCAAATTCCCATAGTTTCTAAACCATTCTTTGTTTTGGCAGAAGCTGGAACCCCTGGGTACTATTTGGCATGCTAGAGTCATCAGTCTTAGAAAGTAAGTGCTGCTTTACTAGGCGACTGATTTGACAAATAAATAATTTACTCACCACCGGAAAAATCCATCCAGTGGGGGAAAACACACACACACACACACACACACACACACACACACACAGCTCACAGCCCGGGCTAAACAAGTTTCAAGGTAAACACTTGGATTCTGTACTGTCATAAGGAATGGAAAAGCAAGGTCAGAGATAGCAGCAGGCACAGAAGTAGATGCCTTCAAGGGGAAACTGCCATGGTCTAATCCCAGGCTCTAAAGAATTTCCTCTTTACAAGAAATAAGAAAAATTCCTTTCTCCACCATGGAAAAGAGAAGGAAAGCTATGGCCATTTCACCCCAGTGCTACTTGCCAGGCCTCCAGTCCATGCCTCCTGAGGGCCAGGACCCCACCTGGCTGATTGCAGTGAGGCATTCCTAGAGGCAGAATTCCAAGCTGTGGCCTCTGCCCGCAGTCCTCTCGCTGCAGCCCAGGGCTGTCTAAAATGCTGGCTTGAGCACTGAAGGCCTGGGGAAGTGGGACATCCCACAGGAGACCTGCAGTACTGCCCTGTCATACAATACATGGTCATCTCAGGGAGAAGACTAACAGAAGCTCTCACTCCACCAAGCCACCAGGACTTTTTGCGTGCAGGATTTCCCTAAAATCACCTCCCCAGACCAGCCCCACCACCCCACATCATCACACCTTTTCCTGTCAGCACCCAGTTCATCTCAGCTTCCCAAGGAGGCAGCTGACCCAGCAGACAGGTCTCAGAGCTACAGCATGACTCTTGCTTACCCCACAGCCTGTGTTGTTGTGTGTTGTCCTGTGTGGGCCATGCACTGCCCTTTCCTCCAACACACTCTCTCTGAATGTCTAACTCTCCCTAGAAATGAAACCACTTTCATCACAACACAGAGGCGCCCATCCCAGGCTTTGCACTGTTGGGGGAGCCTCCTCATTACCACGTTAGCAGCAGGATTGCCAGTGCTGATCCCTGAGGCTCAGCGTTTCCGGCTTGGAGCTCTTCTCCATAAGGGAAGGGGGAGTTAGTTGTGCAAACAAGATTCAGAACACTGCACACACTCTCTCCTTGCCTGGCTCCAAATCCCCCAGCCTTGTGCAGAATTGTCCTGTCCTCCAGCGTTTGGGGATCATTTGCAGCTCCAGTCTCTTTTTTATTGTTTGTTTGTTTGTTTTATTGATTAAGGTAATACATATGTGTCCTTAACCTCCCATTGCCCCCCCAACCTCCCCCCTTCATGCTCTCACCCCCTGGTGTCCATGTCCATTGGTTAGGCTTATATGCATGCATACAAGTCCTTTGGTTGATCTCTCCCCCTTATCCCCACCCTCCCCTGTCTTCCCTCTGAGGTTTGACAGTCTGATACATGTTCCTCTGTCTCTGAATCTGTTTTTGTTCATCAGTTTATATTGTTCATTATAATCCACAAATGAGTGAGATCATATGATATTTATCTTTCTCTGACTTGCTTATTTCACTTAGCATAATACTCTCCAGCTCCATCTACCATAGGCTGTTGCAAATGGTAGGAGTTCCTTCCTTTTTACAGCAGCGTAGTATTCCATTGTATAGATGTATCTCCGGTTAGGGTTTAATCTCTACCATTTATGGGAAACTCATACAACTTAACAAAAGGAAGATAAACAAACCAGTAAAAAAATGGGCAACAGGCCTAAATAGATACTTTTTGAAAGAGGGTATAAGGAAGGCCAAACATATGAAAACATGCTCAAAGTCACTAATTGTCCGAAAGATGCAAATCAAAATGACGATGAGGTACCATCTCACACCTGCTAGAATGGCTATCATTAACATATCAACAAATGACAAATGCTGACGAGGATGTGGAGAAAAAGGAACCCTCATGCACTGCTGGTGGGAATGCAGACTGGTGCAGCCACTGTGGAGAACAGAATGAAGTTTTCTCAAAAATCTAAAAACGGAACTCCCATTTGACCCACAGATCCCACTTCTAGGAATATATCCCAAGAAACCAGAAACACCAATCAGAAAGAATATATGCACCCCTATGTTCATAGCAGTACAATTTACCATAGCTAAGATTTGGGAACAGTCCAAGTGCCCATCAGCAGATGAGTGGATTAGAAAACTGCTGATGTTACATCTACACAGTAAAATACAGCTCTAGTCTCTTATCCTAGAGCTTATGCAGCCTCATCTCAACCTGACTGAGCTTGTCACAGGCCTACTGTTCTTACTCAAGACAACCAGAACAGATCACTCTACCATTTTTTAATGCAACCATTTTGATTTAATGCTCCCATTTCCTCCCCAAATCTCTCCCTCTCTGGATTAATACCTCACTTTACCTTTCCACATCCCCTAGATTCCCAAAATGATTTATGGACATCTCCATTTTCATTGATAAGGAAAAGCAAAGTGCTTTGCTGAAAGATTAACACAGATGCCAGGTGCTCATAGGAAGGTGCCCTCCAGCTCTGGTCCCTCGCCTCAGAGCCAAACCTCGTTCCTGGTCTCTATTTTGGGAAGCTTTTTATCTTGCAGGCCACAAAGGCAGCCCGCTCCCCAAAGAGAACGGCTCTGTGAAGAACAGAGGTCACACTGGATACTGTGCTGCCAGTTGATTACACCCTTTTCCAAGTCCGTCCTTGGTGCAGACGCGGTGAATGCCTGTGATTCTCGTTCCGGCAATTAGGTTTTGATCTCTCTCAGGCTTAATGCTGTGCCCAGTTGTTCTGAAAGAGAAAAGAAATGCTCTCTGCCTCTGCACCATTTATTTTTATATCTGCATTCAATGAAGACTTATTGAAGCTGGGGTCTCTCTCCAGCATTGTGAAGGATAAGAATGAATCATTCCCCACCTTCAAGAAGCTAGTAGCATAGATGAGAGAAAACGTGCAACCAGTATATGACATACAATGTACTCCAGTATTTGAGGGAGAGAAAGGGCCCTTCCTTTATTAAATAGACAAATGCTGAGCATGGTTTAGGGCAGGAGGATACAGAAGTGAAGAAGCCAAAAGAGGTCTTTCCCCTCATGGGGAGAGATGGTCATTAAACAAATTTTAAAAATGAAATGCACAAAGTTAATTTAAAAAGTGACCAATACAATTATTACAAGAGGAATGGGATAGGATGGGATGGAGGTCGGCTTAGAGCAGGTATTCAGGCAGACCTACCTGGAAGGCGAGCTTCTTCCTAAAAGACGAGCCGGTTCCCTGTACCAGGCCTAGGAAACAACAGGTCTGAGGAGGGAACAGGTGCCAAGGCCAGGAGGTGGGCATGGCGGGGGCTTCAGGAGAGAAGTTAAAATGGCGTTTTACAAGCACAATGGCACCAGCAAAGACACAGAGCTGGGAAAGCGTGAACTAACTGCATTCAGTTAGCAGCAAGCATGAATTGAACCAAGGCATGGTGAAGCCTGAAGGCAGGGGCGGCTAGACTATTTACCCCCAGACCATGTCATGTTTGTGAGCAGGAGCACATGCAGTCAGAGCGCACACAGTCTCAGGCTGGATAAGAATGTGCTTTAGGAAGATTTCCCTTGCCTTTGGCAAACAAATAGCCCTCTGTGCTTCTGTTGATGCCTCCTATTTCCTGATAAATATTCATCTTCATGCCCAGGTTTCTTGTGAGAGGCTGGGCTATAAAATAGTTTTAGGTGCGCTGGCAATATAATTTGTGGGGCCCGGTGCAAAATGAAAATGCCGGCCCTTTGTTCAAAATGCAGTTTAAAAGCTTTCCCCTTTCTCTGGCCATCTCCGTCACGGCTTGTCATGGGGTTTTGTGTCTGTTACTTAATACACAGTACCTCCCTCAGGATGTTCATGGGGACAAGTGCAGCTGGTCACAGGCACCCAACGCCCCACCCTCATCCCCAGCCCCACCCCCACCCCCTGCACCCTCTGGAACCCACACCCAGCGCCCGGCAGCAGGGGAAGGAAGCCGTGTCACTGAGTGGGACACCACACCCTGACCACAGAACAGACATAAAAGTGGAACCACACAGGATCCAAGGCTCCCCTCCCCCAGGCACATGCTCCATTGTCCTCCTATGTCACATACAACACACAACTCAAAGGTACAATCATGAAGAATTTCACAATGCAGATTGCATCCTTCTGCTTATGGGGCTTTGGCGCACGTGAAGCCCACCCTGGTTTGAGGCCTGATGAGAAGATAACTGCATCTCAACATGGATTTTTTTGTCCCTAGAATTTAAACTCAGTGAGCTACTGTCCATCAAAAACAAACATGTTTCCCTCGTTCTGCAGGATGTTGCCACTGAGTGAAGACTACATAGGACCTGTCTGTATTGGTTGTTTTTTTGTTTTTTTCAACTTCCTGTGAATCTACAATTATTTGAAAATAAAGGTTATGTATGCAAAGCCCTCACACATGTGCTATTTTGCTGAAGGCAATAAGAAGAGAAAGAGAGATAAAACGAAGGAGGAAATCGAAGAACAAGATTGAGAGGATGAAATTAAAGCCACTTAGTGGTACTCAGCCGGACATCACTAATTATCTTGCAACCTTAGCTGGACATGCAGGCCTTGTCCTTGAGCTGGGAAGGGATAAAAGGGCAGTGGTCAGGCTCACATTTCCAAAGGTGAAGGTCCAACCAGCTTGTTTCTGCCCACACTCCCCTTTCAGCCTGCTCAAATCCATCCGATGGCCATTCACTGATTGCTCTGTGTGTGTGAGGAATGCACCACACTGCCCTGTGCCCTTTGGCATGACAAGATGAGACAACTGCACTTTCTGCAAAGAATGTTTTCTCCAGAACGGATGGAATCTGAGAAGAATGTGGACAGAATGGCAGGTACTTCTAGTTATCAGGTAAAGAAGTGCTGCCTTGTGGCAATAAAGTAAAAAGAATTCTTTTGGCCCATATGTTTTGAAATTCTTGTTCATTTTTTAAATTTAATTTGGGAGTTTATCTGATTTTGTGCCTAATGTTTGCATAATGTGATTGCAAATTTGCATAATTCAAATTGTCATAAAAGGACCTGCACATTTCCTAAAGGCATACTATTGGAATTAAACTAACATATATAGAGCATCTAACGCAACCTTGGAAACAAACAGGCAGAAAATTAAAGGTAGTCATTCTTATTGTTGTTATAGTCAATAATATTCCCAATAAATCACAGTCTCTAATCCTGAAAAATAGTATCTCTAGGCTCTGAAGTTGGAACTTTTTTTTTTTTTTATCAGTATGAGTAGATAAAAGTATAGCACATAGAGTTAAAACATTTCAGAGGAAAATACCGTTTAGCATTGAGGTTCTAAGTGTTTTTCCACTGAAGGGAAAATTAATACCTAGTTAATTCTTTTGCTTCTGTGCAAATGAGGAATGGAATAACACATCAAACCTACACACTATCCCAAAGCTTTCATCTAATCAGTGATTAGGATACATCTTCCATGATGTTATTTTTCTTTGTCCTCACCATGGGGAAAGGATTTCTGAAGATCAATGAGGCCTCTGAATTAAAGGCAAGCAGTAGTAGAAGCATTCTGCAAGGTCATCTCTGAACAGCTAGCTAGTGAGTCAGGTGCCCCCGGAGCAGCAGAGCAGGGCCATCGCACCAGCATTCGGGGCCCCAGCACCATCCTTATGCAATCCGATGGCAGGCGTCCCTTTGGCTCTGGCCATTGTCATCTGTCCCGCGTGGCATGTCCTCCAGAGCCGGTCTTTTATCTTAGTGAGACCCTGAACATCAAAAGAGACCCAACATCTCCTGACAAGTAGCCTTCACACAATCCCAGGGACAGGGAGATTTTTTATGAACACAACTAGGGAGACTTATCTCTGGAGAGGTCATGTCATTGCTGTGGAGAAATACAGCAAAACAGTAGAAACATATTCCTGAACTGGTGTTGGATTCGGGGACTCTGGGCTCCTTAATAACTGTCCACCTACCTGAGTACTTCCTCTGGATCCAGCACCGTCTTAGCTCCTATCTGGGAAAAACACAACGTCTGCTCAGATGGAGCGTGTCTGTACCCTGGTCCATCAGACCTACACAAAATAGTCCATCTAACAATAGACTGAAAGCACCTTTTCTGCATCTCAGAGGCTGGGACCCAGGCTTCAACCCTGTGAACTTGCAACCTGGATGGACCTGGGCAATTCAATGGAGTTAGAAAACTCTAGGATGGGGATAATAACAGCCCTGAGCTCCCAAGGTGAAGGTAAACATGTTATGCCTTTCTGAAATAAACCTTATTTCCTAGAGACAGTCTCGTGTTGTGGGTAGGTAAACTTTGGTTCACATCCTGGCTTTACCACCTGTTAGCTGCATTTCCTTGGTCAAATTACTTAACCTCATGTGTGGCACTCCCTCCCCTCCCCCACCACCGCTTCCTTGTTTGCAGAATGGAGATAATGTCACCCTCATGGTGAGATCATTTTATAAGCATGCCCAAATCAACAAGGAGTATTACGACCTCTTTCTGGACATGTAGAATCAGGGTTAATCTTCACTCAAGACAAAGGCTAGATGGAATTCAGAAATCACCTACACTATATTTAGCTGTTTGCTGATGGAATTTCTTTTCCTTTTTTCAAAGGTCTGAGTCATTCAGTTTTCTTGAGGTTAGTCAGAAGAGGGTTTGCTAGAAACGTCCAGTAAATCTATGGACTTGACACAGCAACTACTAAAGAAGATTAGGTTTTCTGACCCTTCCTATCACCTCCCTGACGTTTCGCTGTGGATCACAGGATGGGTTATCTCACTGGAGGCAGGTTCAGAAGAAAGGCTTCTCTTTATCATTTACTAGAAAGACTAACCCAGCGGGCAGCTATGCTTTTCAGATGCACAGAGAGATTTCTCACAGGAGCATGACACATATGTCCTCTCCCTCATTTGTACCTGTCATTTATCTTCTAAAAAGGGTGTGCCCTGACCTCATAATGTCTTACTTAAGAACAAGAGACTATAGTCCCACTTTGCTAATTTCATTTGGTTCCAAAGAAAAATAAGAATTTTTTTTTTTTGTTAAATGGTGACTCTTGGGGGAGCACCTAGGCCCATAAATAGAGCATTTGAGGAGGTATCTCCTACAGGAGATGATTAAAAGTGCACACCACAGTTCGGTGTGCATAAGAACTCGATCTCAAATATTAGGGGAAAAAACACACAAGAATCACAGGAACCAGAAAGATCAGTCCTCCTGCTGTGTCTCTCCAGTGCTCTGTGCTGGCGAAGGGGAAACATTTAGAAGTCCCAGTTCTCTTCTCACAAATCAGGCAACGAAGCATAAGTTAGGGGCAGAGAGGCAACATGTTGGCAGTGGCACCATGGGCAGTGCAGTGGGAGCAGCCCTGTGTGGATAGTATTGGATCAGGATTTTACTGGTCTCCAGAAGCTCAGCCAGGAGGCTGCTGGAGCGATAAAGGCATGAGATGCCAAGGCCTCAGAGCAAGGTGATGTCAGGAGGAATGAACTAGGAGGTGGAGTGAGATATCTCAAAGGCGAAACAAAATTCTTCTCAGGTTAATCACCCTGTCATAGTCCATTCAGGTTGCTTAACAAAAATATCGGAGATATGGTGATATTTATTTCTCACAGTTCTGGAGACTAGGAAGTCCAACATCAAGGCTCTGGCAGGTTTGGTGTCTGAGTCATAGGTTTTCCCATTCATGAAGATTCAACCCTCAGGACCTAATCACCTCTCACTGTCCCTGCCTTCCAACACCATTACAGTGAGGGTTGAGATTTCAATATAT